TAATAGCGTCGAGACAGGTAATGTGGGAGCAGGTGATGATGTAGGAGTCCTGAGGGACATTGACGCTAAACGTGTCGTTAACGATGACGACGAGACTGGAACTAGAGATTCTATGATAATGGTATAAGAGGCTATCGTAGACTACGATTGTTAGTTCAGGTTAAGGATTTCTTCGGATGCACTAGCCAGTTTAGTCGGGAATCCAGCCGCCTGCTGCCCCGAGCTTCTTAACCTCAGCCCATTTTTAGCCTTACCGGTTTGACCTAGTATACTAGTAATACTATGGTATTGAGATCTTCTCAAACCATACTAGGTCTTGGCGGTATATACCATACCAATACCAACTCATACCGGACCATTCCGATCACTGATGCCGCCTCTGCCTCTAGGTTGGTAAACCTTATTATCTCTCTAAAATTAGGCGCTGTAAGCTTACTAAGAGGCTGGTTTTAGTTGACGAGCTACATAACAGTAGCTACTCGAAAGCCTTGTACGTTGAAGTTTCTAAGTGCGTTAGCGGTAGGCTGAGGCATCTCTAATCTAGCGTCAAAAGCTTGCCGCAATGATAGCTGCCCCTGTCCTCTTAGCGTCGACTTTGGGCCATCTTTTGTAAGGTTGTGCCTACGTTTTGGCTAGCTAAGATGGGTAGCTGCTAAGGTAGTGGCCTGAGTAATATTAAACAAACCACTACTACCAGCGTCGATAGTTTTGTGGATGTAGCAGTACTTGCACACAAACTAGATCCGATTAGTAGCCTAGCGCTTAACAACACGGTAGCTATACTAAAAAATCTAGCTTTTAGGACGCCTAGAGCCCGCTAGTAGCTTCATGTAGCTAGGTAAACGATCCTAGTTAATGCCGTCAAAGCTATTAACAGCGCTGTTTATCTCATCTTGGCTATTATCTTTGTCTCTAGCCTTAGTTGTAGCCACTGTAACAGCCCTGCTACCCTCGGTAGGCGCAACGATATTATCCTCTACATGCGATTCTAAAAACTGCGACTTGAATGTAGGGACTAGCGACGAGACAGTGGCCTGGCTTGCGGCAGCGAGGGCTTTACGAGGTGATCGACGCTGAGATGCTGGCTGAGATGCTGGCTGAGATGAGGCCGCAGGAGTTGAGATGACGTCGTCGGTAGCAGCAGCTACTCTCAAACGTTTGCTACTCGAAGAGGTATGTAGTACGCGGCGTTTGGCCATATTAGGGCAGTCGAAAACACCAGAAAGAAGCGTCGATATAGGAAAATGGAAATCGCGACAGGCTTCAAAACAAGGCTGAGGTTAGGATAGGAGTAGGGCGCTCAGCTGTTTTAGCAGCTGTGTAGCCTATTGTAGCCTGTTTAGGAAATAGCCGAGGTAGTTGCAGCACTAAAAAGAACTGCAAGGCTAAAAAAGTATCGCGAGATCTGCTATATAGTCGATTATAATTAATTTAACCAAGTAAACCAAGCAAGTCAAGCAAGTAAGGCACGCTAACTTGACTTGCTTGGTTCGCTGCGCAGCTCTGACTTGACTTGCTTGCTTGGTATGAACCAAGCAAGTTTGAACAAGCAAGCAAGTCAACTTGCTTTTTGGCAACTCTGGTAAGCAGCACTCTTACGGATGAGAATGAAGATGTGGGCATTAATAGCTAATGACCTTGAATTGCAGTCAATGTCATCGTTTGGAAGACCGAGTTTAGAGAGCGTGAATACGAAATGAACGATGAAAGTGGTGAGGGGAATGGAGGTTTGAGTAACGTGTTTTACAAGCTCGTCACCCATGCCCAAGGTATCTGGACCTTCCACATGTCGCTCAATACTGGCGTCCACAAACCGACACTCGTCCTCGAGATCCTCATTCGTCAGATTGTATTTCAATCGAAGCTACCCGTTAACCACGATGGAGAGCCACTGTTGAGTGTCAGGAAATTTGGCGGAGGAGGACGACAAGGAGCACATGACGACCAATGGTAAGTGTTGTAAGGATAGGCCTGGATGACGTACCGTAACGTCTCGAACATGTATCAAAACAGTCACGACAGAAACGAAATTAGGCTCTAGACTATAATAGGTGCGCTTTGGTTTATAGAAAACGTGTCATTAAATTTGCGGCCAAAAGTCCTCCTCGATAGACTTTGCTAGGTGCAGTGTTTTCTAACTTTGCACATTCTGTCAAAAGCACATGTCCTTAAACTATCTACCTGTTACACTTGCCAGGGAACAGCTGAACGTGTAGCGATTAGGAAAACTGTACCAAGTGTCGCGTGTAGTGGAGGATTTAAGCCTTCTAGCAAACAACTGAATATTCGGCGACCATTTTGAGTGCCCCTGCTCGAACTATCCTCGCGGTGAGTGATAGTCAAACTATTATTGTTGGGGCGAGTATTCCGTACTCGGACCATCCTCACCATCATGAACGTCTAGTGGTGTATTCATAAGTGACAGGTTCGGGTCAAAAACGTTCGAAGGTCCTGGATATATCCACAGGTCTTGCATGTTGACAAGCGGTACACCGTGATCGAAGTTTGTGAAAAACGGGTTGCCAAAGGGCATCGGTGCGATGTGTTCCTCCGGTAGGTAAAACGGATCAAAAACGTCTTGATATCCAGGCAGATTGTCCAATGAGTAGTACGGAAGAGAACGAGCATCGAATGTGCCACTGGTATCCATTGGATTGAATTGGATGTTCTCTTGTGCCACCTGCGCAGTTTGCTGAGCATTGTATGGGGTATGATAATGTTGATGAGCATGAGATTGGGGGGTTTCTTCTCCATAAAGGGCGAGAAGTTCATCCGCCTGGGATTGCAGAGCCGGAGCACATCTCTTGAGGATCTTCCGGATCACATCGTGTGCTCGAGCGGCGACGGGATCGTTATGCTGCATTGCGCGCAACCAACGAACCAGTTTCTTTATAGACACGGTCATGCTAGGTTCGGAGCTCTTCATATGCTTGCTTCCGTAAGCCATCTCTAGTATGAGTACCGCAATTGATTGCATGACTGAGACGTTCAAAATTATTTTATGTTGCATACTTCGCGCTGGACGGAGACTTACTAAGATGAACAACTGCCCACCACGGCCCCTTGGAGTAGATAAAGTCGAGGTTTGGCTCATCAGGGAACAACTTGGTCATTTCCAAAGCAGCTCTGACACAAGCTTCCGCGCTTGCCTTATTGAACTCGGCGGAAGCGTTGCTCTCATTACGAATACGCCGCTCAATCCTACAGAGACATGGTCGTGTGACGAGCATTTTGGTACTCCAGTAGTCTGTCTTGAGAAGAAACTGTTCGCGTTCAAGGCCTGCATTGTGCTTCTCTTGTCCTGCTTGGCGGCCTCCGGGTAATGCTACCTTCGACCATTGCTCGAGCTCATCAAGCAGTCCCAAGATCTTTCCTTGGACGGACTATAGGCACCCTGTGTTAGCATATAAATGCAAGAATGATAGGCGGAAACAGACGTGGTTGCAAGTGTCAACCGGAAGGCCAATACTAAAGGGTCGTTGCACTGCGGCTTCGTGCGCGGAAACAAGTGGAGATACATACCTTCCAAGACCTAGCAGCAGTCCGGGGCGAGTACAGCTCGAGCAAGGCCCTTTGCGAAATGATTGCAATGTTGGTATGGCCAATGAGGTAGCGATCTTGGCCTGGAACTCGCTGGCCAGTCTCGGACGTGTTGCTACTTCTCGTAGTTTGCGACGAGTTGTACCCGTTACGCTTCTGTGTTGTTCGTCGAAATGTATCTCCGGAGTCCTGTTGTTCGCCTGGAAGGCTGCGTGGTAAGGAAACTGTGCAATCCTCGAAGGCAATGACAGGTGGTCTTCCGGTGATCGTGCTCACTAGACACTCCGTGGAATGTAGGCTCCACCAGGTATGTACAAGCAATTCTCTCTTTGACTCTTCCGCTGCAGGATCTTCATTCCGCAAATGAAGACCAAGAGCGAGTGCGAGCCGCATAGATATTCCTATCATGATCCATGCTCTACTCACATGGCCTATTACTAAGAAGTAGAATGCCAACGCGCCGGTCTGCGGGGATCCTAGTCAGTTCAGTTCATGACTAGTCTAGAATTGAGGCTGCGGGATCCATACTGCTTGTACTAGTTGAAGGTCCGGCCCTGAAATGATCATAACAGTGTTCTTCAAGCCGAGAAGATGCACAGCTCTGGTCATGTATATCAAATGATCGCAATCATCCCCCCTCCATTCGGCGCCAATGAGATGAGAGTACTTTGCTCCTATGGCTAAAAGCAAATTCATTTGAGTTCGCCACTTTTGGGGAACCTGATATGCACCATTATGCCTCAGTGCGCCCAAGTACTTGCGAAACTGGTCTGCAAAGGTTTGGGGTACCTGATATGTAGAAACGCTAAGTCAATAAAAACTACTACTGGCAGTTGATTGTGAGGAAGCTTACAAGGGGAAAGCAAGGGTGGACAGTCTCAAAATAGCAGTTGAAAAGCCTTTCCGCCACATCAGGATCCGGATCTTCGTAAGGATCTACAAATATGTCCATTTCCATGTCGTCGCTGTCCAGGTAGAACGTAGTGTCGTTCATATACCTCATTGAGCCTTGTCTTGAGTGCTCTTGGATATCGTCCCGACGGTCATGGAGAGCATCCGAGCGCTCACTGGCAGCATCTCGTGTCGAGCCTGGTGGGCCATGTGGTTGACCGTAAGGCTCTGCTCCCGTGTTTTCGGTTTGGCGCTGTGCACTACGCAGCCACTGGACTTCGGAATTCAGACCAACGTAGCCGGTAGCCCTCGATTCGCGATCACGCATCAAGTCCTCGTCAAGATGGTCAAGATCCTCGTTCGAACCAACGGATGCAGTGACGTATGCTTCGCCATGTGCTTCGCTGTCGTCGTCCTCCTCACTAGTGGATGGTTTCCGACTGCGCTTTCCCAAATTGAGAGATGCGCTCGTCGCATGTGAGATCAAGTCATCAGCCGCCTAGACGAAATAAGAATCGATCATACACAACGACCGGTGTGGCTAGAAGTGGCATATAAGAGCAAACTTACGTCTCGGAGAGCATCATTGATCTTCTGCTTGTGGTCGTTGTCAACGTGCTCGCTCAAATCCCGGAGAAGGGTCGTCAGTGTGTGATTTAGCTGTGTAGCCCTATACGCTTTCAGCAGGTGAAGACTCAACATTTCTGGTGGACAAACTCTCTCAAACGATCCCTCCGAGCTTGCTCATAGACACAATCCAGTGAGTTGAGCTGGCAGTTGGAGCAACGCGGCACTTCGCCAGAACATCTGACCTCTGTTGTTGAGTAAGCAGACAAACCCAGCATAGTTGCAGACTAATTAAGAGACACAGACTTCGTTTACGGCATGCAGTACAAGCTCGAGCTCTGGATAACCATTAGCGCTGAGGCAAAGAAGGATTGCTGACTCTTACGACGTACACGCGATCTTCTCTACCCTTCTCACTTGACTTGAGTGGCGGTGGCGGTGGCGGCGCACGCTCGAGCCTAGGAATTGCCATCTTGCGGCCTTGTTGGGAGCTGTTGGCCTCCTGAGAGTTGCTCTGCATGGCAGACGGTTGCTGCCTCCTCTATATAGTTGCGAGCTCTTCAGTATATACTCGACAAGGATGTCACGTCACGTGCTGTGATGCGCGCTTAGGGCGACTGCGGTGAGCTTGCCGCTGTTCCAAAAACGCGCACTGTAAAGGGCCGAAAAGCAACTGCTGGACGCACGTTGCAGTGTGATATGCGAGCGGTGTGGTACGTCGAGGATCGAAGAAGCGCAGGCTGCATAGAGGAGACACAAATCAGGTTGTTGTTTTGGCTGTCTTGTACGGGGGGGAAGCGATCTCGATCAGTGCCATGGCTTTATGCCTTTTCCGTATGGAATCTTGTTCTGGCCAATCAAAGCAAGGCTGATCCCGCGGAGCGTTTTGTCAGCGCAGACTGTCCCTTGGTCCAAGCATCAGGGCAAGGCAGCTTACTTTATTGGTCTTCGTGTCTGACCCGGTGTTTCTTCATTTTCCTGTGTCTCATAAGTTGTTTTGTACAGCTTTAATCAGTTTCTCCCTCGAACACATATATGAGTGGAGCCGCAACGCTAGAGGCCATCACTGCAGCCAATAGGAACAAGTCTCCGAGCTGTCGACGACTCTGAGCATGCGTTCGATGAGAAGGAATTGAGCATACAACTGTTTCTGTTCTTTTCAATTCGAGCGTTACGAGAAACCTCTTTCAAGGTCCAAGGCATATTTGCGTTTGCCCGGTTCAGTCTCAGGTGTTGTTGGCCACAAAGGTAAGGTCGAGAGAGCAGCTCTGCAGGTGGGGCCACATTGTGACTCCTCGATTACGAGCAGGGAAGCCATAGCCACTGGCGGGGCCATGATATCCACTAGACTGCCCTTGAAACGCAGTGAGTTGCGCACCAGTAAGCTGCACACCCCGCCAAAATCGACGCGACTTGTTGCACGACAGCCCCATAGCAACATAAAATAATAGAATAACGTGGTTCACAAGCGAGTCGCCACCCCGACACCAGCGCGACGCCTGCGTAGTAACGTAGTGTAGCACTAGAACACAATATTATAATAACGTGGTTCATAAGTGAGCGCCCCACCCAAGTGAGCGCCCCACCAAACACCAGCGCAGCGCACGCGCAGCGACGCAGCACACCACTACATCAAATTACTATACTATACGCAATACTATAGGATTATTCAGAAGCGCCGCTATTATCTACATCCTCTATTTCTGCCTTGCAGGTGCGGGAGTTGTGCCCAACCTCGCTGCAACGGCCGCAGCGCCTCTCTGCGCGCACCCTCTTCGCACGCGTCTCGCCGTCCTCACGCCTTCTACCCTCCTTTTCAGCAATTAGGTTAGATACCTCACCAACTGTTAGAGTCTCCTCTGCGCGTATATACCGCCTTTTACGAGTCTTGCGCTTTGTGAGCGTGTCAACAGCGTCTCGAAGGCGGCCCATTTCCTCCTGCACTAACACCATACTATGAGCTATCTGCTGAGCGCCTTTACTTAGCTGCTTGACCTGCTCATCTAACGAGCTTGCTAGTGACCCTTGGTGGTTTTGCATGCGATTTCGAATCAACGTAGACTGCGCCTCTATCTCGCGGGCGTTGCGCGGTGTTTGCGCCTACCAGGCGACAGTGCCTGGTGCAGGTGGCGTTGGCGTACGCAGCTGCACATCTAGCTTTGATAACACAACCTCTGGGTCGTATAGGACTAGCCCGGCACCTCAAAACCCTGCGCGAACGTTCTCTCGTGTAAACGTCTTCTTATGAGCTGCTTTAAAGGCTGGTAGGAAGGTTTCCTTGTTAATATGGTGGACGCGGCTGCGTGCCAAGAGCGAGATCCCGTCGCTGTAGTGGCGCTTCAACAGCGAGTAGGGGACGACGTCTAGAGGCTGCAGAAGGTGCGATGAGTGAGATGGCATGCAGAGAGCGATGATCTTGTTCTCCTTGCAGTAGTCCTGGAATTCTATTGAGCAGTGGCTCTCATGGCCGTCGATAATAAGCATCCTGTACGCCCCAGCAGAAGACGCCTTTGTATGGGCGTCAAAGTGCTTAAGCCACGCCAGCGCGAGGTCGTTGTTGATCCAGCCAGTAGGAGAAACAGTAATAATCCAATCGCGAGGTAGATCTGCAAACCAGGAGGTGATAAGGACCTTGCCTGCAAGGATGAGGAAGGGTGGGATAACGCGCCCCGTCGCAGCGACGCCTTGTACTAGAGTAACCCACTCGCGATCACCAGGCTGTAGTTTCTTCTGTTTCCCAGGTTTCTCTGAGCCTGTAACAACAAGCTGAGAGGATATCTTGCCCATCATAAAGCCAGACTCATCAAAGTTCCAGGTATCCTCATCTGCGATACCATACTTCGCCTTCATCGATTGAACCAGGGTGAACCAGGGCGAACCATGGCCGGATGATCGCTGGGTCCTCACAGGCAGCTCGCTGGCGATCGTATGGACGGCTCCATCGCGTTCGCAGCTCAGGTGTACGCTTAATAAAGTTATCAACCCAGTTCTTGCCTGTAGGCTTCCCACCGCGCTCTCTTAGCAGCCTATCAGCCATATCTCGTACATGTGCCTTCGAGGGCGGTATACCACGTAGACTCTCTTCAAGTATACGCTGTACAATCGCCTCCTCTTCTAGCTTTGTAAGGCGTTTTGAGTTTGGCTCGCAATCGCGTCGAGAGCGTCGTCCAGCGCGTCGGTCAACAAGCGTTCTTCGTGGGACGTTATAGATTGCAGCAGCGCGTGCGTTGCTTTGAAACTGATGAGAATTAATATCTAAGATAGCAAGCTGTAGATTGCCTTCATTGTAGGTTCTTTGGGTATTGCGTGGTTGCGGCATTACGTGAAGTTGCTGCGCAGGCGTCACGCTGGTGTTGGGGTGGCGACTCGCTTGTGAACCACGTTACCGGTAGTGTTTTGCAGTTTTCTAGTCTATCTTTGTCTACATGGAGTCCGCGTGTGTCTTTGAAGGTAACAGTTACTACACGTTGGTGGTGCTGTAGGGCTCTTGCACTGGCTATATATTGACGCCGCTGGTCTCTTTTACGCCGTCGACGCTGACTAGCCGCGTAAAGCTTTGCATTCTCCTCTGCAAGAATTGTCGTTGAATACATCGCGAGTTAGCTAATGAGCTGGCAGATAGCTTGGCTTGTCGGGTTCTGTGACTGACGAGGAAGGAGGTCTCATACATGTCGAGCCTGCTGCTCCAGCTGGGCTACTGTACGCGGCTGTTGTCCATGCGATGTTACCGTGTCCCGTGTCCGTGATGCGCGAATACCGTATATGCACCCATACTTCTCAACACCAAATCTCAACGCCACCATGCCGCTGAGAGAAGGCCTTAAGGAGGTAGACTCCATGATGCCTTGCGATAAAATCCCTTGTTCGAAAACAGCTGATAAACATGGTGTTGTGCGCTCCACTTTGACACGAACGTACCGACACGAAACTGAGCCCCACACGATCAAGATCATCAATCAACAACACCTTAATACAGATCAAGAGGCAGAGCGAGTGCGCTATATAGATGATCCCACAGAGTGGCACTTGCCACCTACGAGAGAGACGATATAGAGTTTCGCGCCGACGATCGCGAAAAAGCTAGAGAGCAAGAGCTGGGTACGCGCTTCATCAACCGGCACAAAGATCAACTTACACCTCGATGGACCTCCGCTATAAATGCCGATCGCCACGCCGCTGATTCTTATGATAAGTACAAGCTCTACATCGATATCCTATAGCTCAAAATTACTATGTACAACGTTGAGCCGGAGCATACATACACTATGGATGAGAAGGGCTTATGGTAGGAGCTATCGGCAAGAGCAAAAAGATCGTCACTAAGACAAAACATAAACGCAAGCAGTATATGCAGGCAATCCAGAATGGCAATCACAAGTGGATTACGCTGCTGGCGTGTGTGGGAGTTGCTGGGGTCGCTCTTCCGCTAGGTCTTATATACTCGGCCGAGTTAAAGAACGTACAATCGACTTGGATGGATGATATAGACATTAAAAAACACTTAGTCCTTGTCGCCGTTTTACCTTTGGCTGGTCGAACGATGATGCTGGGCTGGCCTGGTTTTAACTGGTGTTTAATCGCTACACTGAGGACTTAGCTCGAAGAAAGTACAGGCTTCTCATTGTAGATGGCCACGGCAGCTATCTCACGATGGATTTTATTAAGTACTGTAACAAACACAAGATCATATTGGCTATCTATCCGCCACACTCTACCCTCACGCTTCAGCCGCTAGATGTGGTGATGTTTAACCCTCTCTCATTGGTGTACTCAAACCAGATATCAGTCTTTGTGGAAAGATGCCAAGGACTCAGTTCAGAAAATGCTGCTTGAACAAGAGGCTCGAGGCCTCAAGGAGGCCCTAATCCACGAGAGGCTGCGCAGAAATCGGGGCAAGGCCCTGCTTCTAGGGGAACCGAAGGAGTACCATGGTGGATCTGTGTTCTGGTCTCCAAGGAAGGTGAAGCAAGACACGTGATTCGCCTGCACCAACAGGAGCTTTGAAGAGCAACAACAACAACACCAAAAGATTGAAGCAAATAAGCTCCGTGAGGAGACAAGGCAGGCTCAGGCTCAGGCTCAGGCTCGGGATATTCAAGCAAGGCGCCAGGAAAGAGCAGAGGCCAGGATATTGAGGGAGAAGGAGAAGACAGAGAAGGCTGTTAATCAAGCCTCTAGGGCAGCTGCTCGTAGGACTCAACAACGACTTGAACAAGCTCTCAAAACTTCCCAAAAAGGCAAAAGAACGAGCCTTAAGGCCACTGCAAACGCAGCTTCAGCGAAAAGAGTAGCTGCGGTGCCTCAGGGTGGTGGGAAGGTTTCAGGTGCTGTTTTGGTAGAGTGAGCGTGCATGAGCCCGTTATGCACGGCATCCAGTCACAGCGCGGCCGAGATGTCAAGACTTCAGAAAGATTTTTGTAGCGCAATATATTATACCGCTTGTATTATCTCTCTACTAAGTTTTCCCGTAATAATAGCCTTTGTGTGAGGCTCTACAACCTCATGTTTGGTTGCTGTTTTGGTGTTCGGGTGGTCCGTTGAGACAGGGGGCTCGTTGGCCTGTCCACCTCGGTAAATTCCTCATCAACTTCGCCCAAAAACTCGGATCCATCAATCATTCGATTGATCCCACTCCAAATGTCGGCCAATTGAATCAAACCATAGGTTTCAGATCAATCGGCTTAATAGTTGCCAACATCTGGATGACAGGAACCTTCCGCGAAATATCAGAAGAGAGGAGAGCAAATGTTTCGAATTAACGAAGTTTGGTGCACTCTTGCACGTGCGATGTCGCGGATCTCCCACCCAACAGGTTCTATCCCGTCACCACAACCCGCAATCGCGATCCCACTGCGTTATGACTGTATCGCACTCAGCCGAATAGCAAGTCGCGGAAATGCGTGCCGCCGCGACAGCCTAGTGAGAAAAGTTTAAGGGAGACATTGCGTCACCGCTAGGGTTTGCGCATCCCGAACACGCGCGTTCCGCTCCCTTCGAACGCCTTTCCCACAGCGCCACATACATATACACTGGTTTCAGTTCAGACACCAGACCACGCACCCACACTCTCCTGTACCTTTTGATCTCACACAGACTGACACAATATGATGGAAGTCCAGACCCCCCCACAGTTTGATTTGGCCAACAACGCCTTTGTTGGCCTCAACCCCAACATGCAACAACCTGAGAAGTGGGCGTCGATGCAAAGTACAGCTTTCGGCATCCCCCCCACTCTGCTTACCTCAGCTTCCATCGAGCGATATGGCCACGTTACCCCGCCAGAAGAGCTTTCGCCCGCTGACCCGCATCAGGACGCGAGGGAAAGCTCCATTCTTGTGGAACAGTCGAGGAATGAGGCGCTCTGGCCCAAGCAGCACCTACAATCACAGTCATCAACGCACCAGGACAGAAAGCCAGCTCCAAAGCGCCGCCGTACCAACCGACAGCCAGCTGCCAATCGAAGTCAAGCAAACAACGGTATCCCGCCTCAGCAGGACGTCAACCTTCCGCCACCAAAGCAAGCGGGGCAGGCCCATATCGCAACCACAGATGGTTGAGGCATATGCCGCCGAGGGCTTTCCCTCTCAGGTCTCTTCCACTCGCCAATTCCACCTAGAAAAGAACCGTGTTGCTGCGCAGAAATGCCGACATCGCAAGAGGCAGTACATCAATGGCCTCGAAAGTCGCGCCCGAGAGTTCTCCTCGAAAAACGAAGCGCTCAAGGAGAACGTAGCCATGCTGCGCGAGGAAGTGCTCGGCCTCAAGAACGAGGTTTTACGTCACGCTGGTTGTGGTTTCTGGGCGGTTGACGAATACCTTGCCCGATGCGCGAGTAACCTACTAGGAATGGAAGCTTCACTGCGCACACCTACAACGCGGCATCCGAGCCACCGCAGCCCTGCAGTGAACACCAACCAGCTCATGCATCAGCGACACAATAGCACCGATACGATATCGAGCCAGCCGACGGTTGCCTCAAACCCCGACGAAGACGAGTTCGGCGGCCCTGAGTTCCTTCGAGACTTCGAGGACGTGGATATGGAAGACTAGCAATAATCCTCTCAGCCTTGCTTAAGCTTCTCTTTCGTCTTCCTCTACTTCACGTCAGTTCTTCGATGTTTCTACGATACCCGGATCTTTGCCTTACTTTGCGCCACAAAAGCCTTGGCTCTTGATCTTCTGTTACTTTGTGTTGTACTACGCAACATGGCCTTGTACTTACACCTCATGATTGGCGCCTCAGTGATGGAGTTTGAAATATGGGGCCTAGGCCACATACAACAGCAAATGGCGAAGACAGCATAGCTGTCACGTCCTCGAACAGATCCACAAATTTATTTTATTAGCATTGTACATCTGCGCATGCGATACTTGAATTGACATTGCTTTCGATGTCACCGTGCCAGCTCGCTGACTTGCCCCTCATAAAAGGTCAATCTTCCCACAAGAACATCTTACGCAACTTCCCTAGCATTTACGCAACTTCTACCAATTCCCATCTTTCGCCTTACAAAAAGACCCATTGTCTGGTGGGCGCGCGACGATCCCGCTGACGTTGTGCTTTGCTCCCATTGGTCATGGCATTGTTTGACCTCGACCCTTGTACAGCAGGAACGCAAGGTTCGGGGCCGGAACGTGAAGGCTCTCTAAGACAACGGTAAAGAAGGTTCGGTATTCTGATAATTGGCGTTTAAAAGCAACGTCTGTTAATTCTCCCATTCTTACTCCTAGATAGGGAAGCCTGCTCACCCTTTTTTTTGTTGAGAAATAAGAAAAACTCGTCTCCTCAATATCTCATGTTCCCAGCGAACTGCAACTCGCTAAGCTGGAAGGCTAAGTTTCTGCAGAGTGTGGAATACCGGCAGCGAGCGAGCGAGCCTGCCGACTCGCTTGCGGCCACTGAACTCTAGTCATCCCATTGGACACAATAGTGGTCACGAGCCTGCCAGGAACTCCACATCCTTCACTTCCTGATCCACATCACATCGGCCTTCCTTACCCAGTCTAGTAATTGTATGCACGGTTTGGCGTACGTCAGATGTCCAGATTATAACATCTGCCCGGGATAGTCCTCCGAGTTTCAAGACTGGATAAGTAGATGCTCGAGAGCGCCATGCACGAGGAAGTCATGCCTAGGCAGGACCGAGATGTGCTTGAAATTGTCTGACCCATGTTGTAAGCCCAGGGTACCTTGCATGGTCGCGTGGACTATTCAGCGGCCAATCAGCCCACTACTCTATGTATATAAGCTTAGATCACAGACCTCTCGGTGATGAATACGCAGAATACACACAATCTACTTACAGATGAAGCACATATCTTTCATAGCCTTCAGGGCGACGCGCCATCGGCCTCTAGAAAGTCGACCGTCCAAGCCAACAGGCAAGAACTGACTGAAAGCCTTTGAGAAGCGCTATCCAGATTTACAGGCGAAGAGGGAGAAGGCCCTAGACTGGAACTGTCACAGGAAAAACACGGACGAGAAGATGAGACACTGGTTTGACGTAATCGGCAAGGTGCTGCGAGACCCGACCGTCCGGGCAGGAAATGTATACAACATGGACGAGACCGGAATCATGCTGTCTATGCCCGGTTCAGTCAAAGTGCTCGTAGGTAAGAATAACGTGCAGGGTTGTAGAGGCGCTCGTGTTAAGCGGACCACTGTCACCGCCATAGAGTGTATTAGCACCGACGGTAGGTATCTAAAACCTATAATCATATAGCGAGCCACCACTCACAGAAGCAATTGGACCGCATTCGAGATCCCTGGGTGGCAGTATACGTGCAACGAATCCAGGCATACTAATTCCAAGATTAGCTTGGAATAGTTGAAATGTAATTTCGACCTCTAAACTAAGGACTGAGCAAACGGTATTATCGTTGCGGAAACATATAGACCCCCTTGTTAAATCACGTGAATATCCCAGTCGATTACCAGTAGTAATTGTTACCAAAAAGCAGAGTGAATGTTCACGATTAGTCATAGTTAGGGTATAGTAGCATGTAGGGCTTCAAGTAGACGTTTTAGAGACTTTTTAGAGACCCGTATAGGTGAATATAGTGTAGTAGTGAGCTTTTAGGAGGTAGTAGAGCGTATTAGTAGGCGTTTAGGAGGTTGTAACAGGTGTAAGATACCTTAGGGGTAGGGGTAGGTAGAGGCGGGGTGGTGAAGGTTTAGGACGGCGTGTAAGCTTACAGGGGTTCTTGATAAGATAATCGGTCCTAAAGCAGCGTACTAGGGTGAATCTAGGGCATGTAGGAGTCTCCAGATGTGCCGGAGACATAGGAGGAAAGCTAAATCGCTGGGTATATACTGTTTTGCAGTACCCACCCACATTTCTCAGTATCCATCTACATTCTACCTGCTCTTTCTCTCCCTACAGCAGCGACGAGGCGTTAATCGAAGTCAATCTCGGCAGCGGTGAAGGTGTGGGATCAATTTAAATCATCAGGGAGACGAATTACGCTTATATATAATAGTCAATATGCCCGCTACGTCGTCGCGGCGTCGTACGCTTACCCAGAAAGCTCGTGAGGAGCAGGAAAGACGTCAGAAGCGTAATAAGAGACGTCGTAGGATCATGGAGATCTCCGATATAAGCAGTGAACGTTCAGCGACGCCCTCTACTCCTTCACAGCCGTATCCGAACCTCTCCCAGCTAGGTGCTAGAGCTTAGCTAGTAGATAAAGACAGCAGAAGCGATACTGTAGCTAATAAGGAGATCCACGACAACGATAACCGGGAAGACTCAGCACTTAGCAGCTTTTCTGGAGGTATCTTTGTCAGAGATCGCTTAAGCCCAGCTATACAGGACGCCTAGAACGCTCCTAGAGTGAATTACATAAGTCGTTAGCGTGTATTTACTAGAAGGGAGGCTCTCGGCTGCTAGGAGACTTCAGCGCAGCACTCTAAGAAGGTTACCTTAGCTACTATTATAAGCTAGGCAGAAGCTTGAATCGCGGAGCAGCTACTACTAGTGTATACAATTACGAGACTCACCGCATTAATATACTTCTAGAAGCAACAAAAGCAATCGTACTAGGTACAATCTCTTAGCAAAGGAGACAACCATGCGTTTAACTAGTTCCTAGAGCTTCTACACAAGAAGAGAGAGGAGAGAGACTAAGCTAGGGGATCTCTAAAGGCGATATAGGTTGACTTTAACCTGCACGTAGAGCTAGCAGACCGCAGCTTCGGCGTAGGGCGTTAAGGTAATCTCTTTAGTACTGGCCGCAACCTAACTAAGCGTTAGCTGCTTTAATTACTAACTACTGCAGCTAAGCTTCTTGCTACAGAAGGGCAGGTTACAGAGGTAATTGCGATGTGGAGATGTAAGCATTAGGGCTGTTTAAATTATCCCTATACTTGCTAGGTTGCTAGTCTTAAACCTGATGAAAGAGGCCCTAGAAGAGTAGAGAACTATTACCTAGTACCTAAAGGAGTACTTAATATATAGAATCAAGAGATTCGAAGAGGTGTTTCTACAGCACAAGACCTGTTAGAGAACCTTAGGACTCTCCTCCGTTAAGAGAGAGAGCGTCGAAGAAGTAGAAAGAGAGATAATAACAACAACACAGAGATCCTAAGTGAAGTAAGTTTAACATTAAGAGAGCTTGCAAGACTCTACGGCGCTAAAGCCTAGGCAGACCTTGCTGCCGCTGCTCCACTAGCTGAATATGTACCGTTTAGAGGCTCTTATTTCCCTCTTCGCGTTGCCTAGGCCTTCTTCTAGTAGTAGTACGACTGTAAGGAGAAGGAGGATATTAAAGACTGTATCGCTTTAATTAGAAACTAAGCTGTAGAGGAGAAAATCTTAGTTAACGACCTCCGTGGGTTAACTGTGAGGGACTGGAATCGCAAGTTCTAGCAACCCCTAGCGTGTCTCCTTTAAATAAGGCAGCAATTAGAGGTCTTTGTTAAGGAACTGCTGTAGGAGACGTATATAAACGATGCTAGAGGCTAGGATTATAGTGTATTTGAGCCTAAGGTGTTAGAGCAGCTTGCCTAGGAAGCTAGTCTCTTTATTTTAGACTTAACATAAAGTTTAGGGGCTTTTCTCGCAAAATAGCGTTAGTTTTACGCATTCTACTTATGTAAATCTTAAGATTTTAGTCCTAGATTTAAGGCGCTAAGTAATAACATATTCCTTGTAAAGAATCCTGACTTTAGAAGCAATTAGATACTGTTAAGGGGTTAAAGTACCCGCTAAGGCGTTAGTTTGCAACCCTTATTTTATGCCTTTCTTTTTGTTTCTGCCTCTAGAATTAGTATATAGCATACGCTAAACAAGATCCCTGTCTTAGAATTATATATTTGTATGTAGTTGTAGAGATGTATGCCGTCGCAGAGGTAACCTTGTAGGAAGCCTAATGCAGGGTGTTACGGGGTCGGCAGGTAGGGAAGATAGGTGCACGTGATTAGTATATTTACTACGATATCGCTAATAGTACGGGGTTAGGCTAAGACAAGGACGTAGCTCAAGGAGCGTACGACAAGGCGAGTTCGCACAGGAATTTCAGCGATTGCGCAGCTGCTCGCTTAGCAGCTTGGCGCGCTCTAATAGGCTATCTAGGTTAGCGCCGTAACACAGGGGCTCCTTGCCGCTCTTCTCTTAATCCTTACTGTAGCTCTACTATTACGCTGTATATATTAAAACTAAGTTAAAGTGTTGTAGATTTAGGTATAGCGAAAAGGATAGCGCTGTTAGATATACAGGGTTCAACGTAGTTGTAGAGGTATAGGCCGTTAGGCGGGTAAATTAGGTGGCTTAGATGGTTGCAGAGTTTCTTAGGGGTCTTAACGCGGAGTCGCAATGACGAGGTCACAGCTAGCTTGACGCTTATGCCTACGATAGCGTTCAGCCTGGCTGCTCTAAATACCCCTCTGTTTTTCTCTACAACTTTACGACTACTGTGAGGAGTAGTTGGGCAGGCACTGAGATATCGGTATAGGCTTGTATTAAGACGAATCCTTGAGGAGCTATCAAGCCTCTCAGAGGGATGATATATACCTACGTCACGTGATTGTGGCTGGTGTGATCCGACGGTGC